GTGACCTTCCTATTGCAACACTTGTACATGCTATGACCATATTGGCCACACTTGATACAAGCTTGCCGTGCCCACCGATCTCTCCACACGTCCTCAGATAGACCCGCTTTCTCCCATGGAGGAGCATTGGGGTCTGTTTGACTCTTCGACCGGGATCCCCTAGGGCGTCTACCGGTCCCTTTACCTTTTTGCTGGGTTACAGCGGCGACTACTCCACCCTCTGAAGTTTCGCCACCCGCCTCTGCACCTACTCCCTCCTGGAGGTTGCCGTCCAACTCGATGGTTGAACCATCGTTGTCGACAAACATTAAGCGACCCTTCGCCTTCCAGTTGGGAGCCAGTGTCTTCTTTCTCCCTTCCATAGTGGGTGCCTGTCCATGCCCTATTTTTGCTTCAAGGTCTAGGGCCACCTTGCTAAACGAAGGAAAGTTGTGCATATTGATGTTTGCCTCTTTTGCCAACTGGTTCCTGAGAGGCTGTGAAAAACATCTCAGGTACGAAGTCAACAAGACCTGAGGATCATAGCGTACCCCAGGGACACAGATCAAACGCTCAACAGCGTCGGTGGCGTCCCTTATTGACTTAAGCTGCCGTGTGTGCAGTGTCAGGATCGCGTCAGTGGCCCTTTGAGCCTCCTGAGGATCATGCCACCTCTCTTCCACCATCTTCAGGAAGTCCTCCAATTTCTGGGAGGCCGCCCAAGCGCGGAAGTCATGACCGTATCCTTGAAGTTGTACTAGACCACTCAACCATCTTGTTGCACAACCCTCGAGGTAGGATGCAGCCACAAGCACTTCTTCGTGCGGCAAGGTGAGTTTGCACCTGACGTAGACCGGCACTGCCCTCAACCATGTGTCGAGGTCCTCGCCTCTCTTGTCCCCTGTAAAAGGTTTGGGAGCAGCGATGGCCGTCTTTGGAACCCACTGTGTCTGTCCCGGTGCATCATTCCAGGCTGTGGACCCGGTGAAACAGGTTGTTGTGCTAGCTGCTGGGGCTGTGAGCCCTGAGGCTGCACTGGCTGCGAGACAGCAGGCTGCGTGGTGACTGCCACCTGTGACGGACTTGGAGTAAACACTGTCTGTACAGAAACCTGTAAACTACTCCCTGCTGTTACCCCTCCTGACAGCGGCATGCCCAGGGAAACGATTGCAACCGTTGACGGGGCTACATATGGGGATACCCCTGTCACCATGGGATAGATAAAGGAGGATATGGCACGGGCCAGGCACCAGGCCCGGCTGGTGATGGTGCTGCCTGAGCACGGCCTGCCAGTACGGCTAGGCTTTGTTGAATGTCCAGAAGGATGGTAGTTTGATGCTCCTGCATCTCAATTACGCCTAGCAGTGCCCTCCTAACTACCTTCACATCATCATCCATATGCGTCAGGTCCATCGTCTCTAACTCCTCTATGTCCGTCCCTCTCCGTTGCATCCTGGTTCTTCTTCTAATCATCATTTCTTTTTCCCTTTTTATCTGTCCTAATGCCTGCTATAGCTGTGCCTCCTGCAGGGCTGCCTGCTGGATGGCGACATCCTCTGGGGTCAACACCGCGAGCTGGCTTACCACTAAGCCAGTGGACTGACTCACGGTCTGCGCGACCGTGGGCCCGGCAGTACCTGAACTACCGGCATGGGAAGTTTGCTGCGCAGACGTGCTCATGGCTGTGGTAGCCATGGCTGCTGCCCTGCTGGCCTCGGCTGCTCTAGCTCTCCTCTGTTGCTGCCTCTCCCGCTGCCGGCGGAACAGTTCCCTATCACCCTCCGGTCCTAAGGACACGTGGGTTATCGGGCCCCTAGATGATCGTAAGATCCTGCGGTCGTCTTCTCCGGTGTCCCCTGTGTCGCTCATGGACTACAGCACTATGCAATGTCTACACTAGATCATTTTGGATGCCTACCGCAGCATAGTGCATAGACCAACTATTTAGTGGTGGCTATTTTTGGAACAGATCTCATTTGGGGTCAACAGGTAAGTCAGATTCCTACCGTCAATACTATTCTTAGTAAGATTAGTTCTCAAACAGAGGAAGCATCAGGAATGAACAATATTCTAAACTAATGCTGTCTGTCAGATGTCACATGGCTGTCCATCTAACTAATCAAAATAAAAATAATGTTGACTGACTGGGTCTGTTCATAGCATGGAATTTAAACCTGAACTTATCACCTGGAACCTACCCCTCCCACAGTTCTTCTCAATGTCACGGTGTCACGTCCCTAAGCATCTGAAGTCAAGCGTGTCTGAAGGTGTGCAATCCGGTCCCACCCTTGTGCCCCGGGTTATCGTCGAGCAAGGCAGCCACAACACTCTTATTTACCCTCGTACGCTGACGAGCCTTCCACTCGGATGATCTGGCTGATCAAGAGGCAATTTAACGTCTGCCCCCAAGTGACATCAGGAATTATTTTACGTCGCAGCAGGACGACGATCACAGCCAGATCAGAGCCGAGTCCCCAGCCAGAAATGTTTATAGA